TATATGACCAAATCTCTGGTAAATCGACTCTACCTGAAGCAAGCTTTGTATTCATTCAAGATGATTGAAGACAAAGTGTTGGCTGAGCAGTTGGATATGTTCAACAAGCTGATTCTTGATCTTGAAAATATTGATGTAAAGATTGATGATGAAGATCAAGCGCTGTTATTATTGTGCGCTTTGCCCAGATCACATGCTCACTTCAAAGAAACCCTCTTGTATGGAAGAGAGTCCCTGACCTTTGAAGAAGTTCAATCAGCTTTGTACTCTAAGGACTTGAACGAACGTAAGGAGCATAAACCTTCGACGGTTGGTGAAGGTTTGGCTGTTAAAGGAAAATTCGACAAGAGGAAAGGTAAAAATCAGTCGAAGTCTTATAGTGGTGATGCATCTGGTATTAGATGCTATCACTGTAAGAAAGTAGGTCACACAAGAAAGGTGTGCCCTGAACGCCTGAAAGATCATGGAGGTAAGGATAATGGCAATGCAGCTATTGTCCAAGATGATTTCGAATCATCTGATGTTCTTGTGGTTTCAAGCAACAACTCGTCGAAGGAGTGGATTATGGATTCTGGATGCACTTGGCACATGACTCCAAACAAAGACTTGTTCGAGGACTTATGTGATCAAGATGGTGGATCTGTATTGCTGGGAAACAACAAAGCTTGCAAGATTGCAGGCATTGGATCTGTGAGATTCAAGCTCCATGATGAGTCAATAAGATTGTTGACTGAAGTCAGGTATGTACCTGATTTGAAGAGAAATTTGATTTCTCTTGGTGAATTCGACAAGAAAGGATATGTGTTTCAAGGAGAGAAAAGTATCCTGAGAGTCATGAAAGGGTCGAAGGAAGTCTTGAGAGGCGTGAAGAAACAAGGCTTGTATACCCTTGAGGCTGAAGTTGTAAGTGGTTCGACAAATGTTGCATCCACGAAACCTTTGTCGAAGACAGAAATTTGGCACATGAGATTGGGCCATGTCAGTGAAAGGGGTCTGTTCGAATTAGGGAAACAAAATCTGCTTGGTGGAGATAAAGTCGAAAAGCTGAAGTTTTGTGAACCCTGTGTACTTGGAAAGTCCTGTAGAATGAAGTTCAACAAAGGCAAACAAAGAACACATGGATCCCTTGATTACATCCATGCTGATCTTTGGGGGCCTGCAAGGTGTCCATCACATTCAGGAGCAAAGTATTTTCTATCCATAGTAGATGACTATTCCAGAAAGTTATGGGTATTCATCCAGAAGACTAAGGATGAAACTTTTGAGAATTTCAAAAGTTGGAAGACTCTTGTCGAAAATCAAACTGGCAGAAAGGTAAAGAGGTTGAGAACTGACAATGGCCTTGAGTTTTGCAATGAGGCGTTCGACAGTTTTTGTGTTGCCTCTGGTATTGCAAGGCACAGAACTACCGCAGGTACTCCACAACAAAATGGTTTGGCTGAAAGGTTTAATCGAACTATTTTGGAGAGAGTTAGATGCATGTTGACTAGTGCGGGATTAAAGAAGGTGTTTTGGGCTGAGGCTGTTTCGACAGCAGCATATCTGATAAACAGATGTCCTTCGACAGCGTTAGATATGAAGACACCTGAAGAAGTTTGGTCGGGACATCCACCAGATCTCGACAAACTAAGAGTATTTGGCTGTGTAGCCTATGCTCACATTAGGCAAGACAAGGTCGAACCTAGAGCTCTGAAATGCATGTTTATGGGATACCCTGAAGGAGTGAAAGCTTATAGGCTATGGTGCCTAGAGCCAGGTCACAGGAGGTGTATCACCAGTCGAGATGTAGTTTTCAATGAAACTGAAATGGTTTTCAAGAAAACTGATGATGTTGACGAAGAGCTGGAACAGGTAGAGATTCCTGTTGAGGTGGAGCATGTTGATGCTGAAATGCGTATCCCAGATGAAGTCGAAGAAGAAACAGAAGATTCTGATGATGTTGAGGAAACTGTTGATGACTACCTATTGTCGAGAGATAGGCAAAGAAGAGTCATAAAACCACCTCAGAGACTTGGATATGCAGATCTTGTAGCTTATGCCTTAATCTCTGCAAGTGAAGTTCTAGACGAAGAACCTAGAGATTATAAGGAAGCTATAAGGAGTCGAATGAAGACTGAATGGCTAAAGGCCATGCATGATGAGATGAAATCTCTTCATGATAATCACACTTGGGAACTAATCGAGAAACCTGTTGGGGCAAGGTTAGTCAGCTGTAAGTGGATTTTCAAAGTTAAGGAAGGAATTGAAGGAGTAATGTCGAAGAGGTACAAGGCAAGATTAGTCGCAAGGGGTTTCACTCAGAAAGAAGGTGTCGACTTCAATGATGTATTTTCCCCTGTTGTGAAGCACAGATCCATTCGAATGTTGCTTGCCATGGTGGCTCAGTTCGACCTTGAACTGGAACAAATGGATGTGAAGACTGCGTTCTTGTATGGTGACTTAGATGAAACGATCCTGATGAGGCAACCTGAAGGGTATGTCGAAAAGGGGAAAGAAGCATTGTGGCTTGAAGGTTTTGCAAAGGAACTGAAACTTCAAGGTCAAGGTATCACTGTTAAATGTGATAGTCAAAGTGCAATACACCTGTCGAAGAACTCAGCCTATCATGAGCGAACCAAGCACATAGATGTGAGGCTGCATTTCGTCAGAGGGGTAATCGAGCGTGGAGAAGTCCAAGTGCTGAAGGTCTCGATAGAACACAATGCCGCTGATATGATCACCAAAACATTGCCAAGTTGCAAGTTTTTCCACTGTATGCAGTTGATAAAGCTGCATGAAGAAAGCTAGTTAGTGTCTCTTGATGCTGTAGAGTTAGGTCCAAGGTGGAGATTTGTGGGATATTGGATCGAACTCTAGTATGATCGAAGTACATGCTGTAGTCGAAGAAAGGGTCTAGCATGTATTTGTCGAAGATGCTTGTTAAATTAGGTTTTAGTGTTTAAACCCTAATTTGTTAAGTTAGCTTGTTTCTTAAGTTAGCTTGTATAATGGGCCTTGTGGAAAAAACCCATTAGTTAGTATGTTAGGTTTTATTATAAATAGCATACTAGTCTCTCATCATTGCATCACAGCAAATCCTAATTTAGGGTGAGAGGGTTATTTGTTATTCTTGTAAACTTGTAATCTTGTTTTCAAAGAGAAAGTAAAGAATAGCAGTTATAACCAATTCTTGTGTTCTTCTTCTTCCTTGTTCTTTATTCTTCCCTTATTCGATACTTTGTTATTGGCATTGAATTCACAACAGTATCGTTATATAATGAAACTATTTGAATGGGGAATAGATCTTGTTAATGGGTATCCTTGTGCCTATGAGGTATTATACTGGAATTTTAAGGGATATTTTTGCGCCTATGAGTGACTTTCAACGAGGTTTTATAGTGGAATTTTAAGGGGTATCCTTGTATCTAGGAGCGACTTCATACTGAGTATGATAAATATAGGCATATAATTTGTGATGTCAGGTTATCTTGAAAAAAAGATATACGTTTATAAATAATCAAAATACAAATAAATGAGAATGTCAAACAACATTGACTCGATAAAAGCAAATCTTTTACATAAATAAAGATTAAAGAAAAATTCTATTCGAAAGACCCCAATAAAGGAATAGATAAAAAAATTATAATACACCATATACTTTAATTTTCAGAAAAAACTTTAGATAAATCATTATTTTAAACATACATGCCGTCTCTCGTGGTCGCCATTATCTCTTAATATTGACTAGTCGCCACCTAAAAAAATCGAGTTCTCAATATTTACATTCTGGAACTGTTCCACCAGTTCCTAGCCAACCTCAGGGCCGATCTCTTCCATCAGCTATACATTCACGACTACCTTAAAATAATTCATCTCGCCAAGGTCGAACTCGAAATATAAAAGCAAATTTGTATTTTCGCCTTTTCTAAACCTTGATCCTGAGAGAGAATATCTTCCATATGAGCTTCCTCTAGCTCCACTTGAAGATCTTTTACGGTATATTCATGAGTTTCTACCGCCTCCTTAAGGTCGTACACTTTAGCTTCAACCTCAATAAGTTTGACACTCTTACTCTTGTAGCTCACCTCTAATATTTTCTTCTCTCCTATGATTCTTTTTTTCATGTATTGCTTTTTCGAGGGCTACCTACACATCTTTATAATTCTTCTCGAGAGTAGTTGTCTTATCATTAAAAGACGTTGACAATGTTTTATTAAGTTCATAATTCTCCATACCTTATAAATTTCAATGTTGTTTCCTATTTTTCAAAAAATATGAATCCTCAAACATTGCTCTACCTAACACGCCACTCCTCAAAAATCTACTTTTTATGTCGTTGTTGTTATCGCCTTTTAAAAAACTCTTCACCTCCAACAATATAGATGTAGTCCAATCTAAATCAATCAGAATCTTTTTAAGATCCACCTTACTTTTATGTACATGATGAGGCTATGGACTACTTGAAACGAGATCGGAGGAATCCACTATAAAAAGACAAATTTGAGGAGATTTATATATATATATATATATATATATATATATATATATATATATATATATATATATATATATATATATATAGATAACCGAAGATGACCATCTATTCAAATTATTAAATAATTGAGACCTTAAAGATTTTATATTCAGTAAAACTACATCGATTTTTCAAATACGAACATTAATATAAGAGACCTGAAACTCGTGTAGTACTAGTTTTGTGAACTTACCAATTCCACCCTTTAAATTAAAATATAATCATTCAGATAATATATATATATAACTAATTAATTTAAATAATTTTAACAATTAATTTAAAATGTAGCTACCCAAATCTATAACCAAGTTATCCAAATCGACAAAAAGAACCTTTTGTAGGATCACACCAGCCTTTTACCAGTAACATAATGCTTTAGGGCATGGCATAGAATGCAATTCGATAGGACTTAATATACCCAATACACAACATATATAACATAAGATGATCAATAATTTTCTGAAAAAAAACATCAAAACCTTCTTAACTAATGAAATCCACCCGCAACTGAAACCTTGGCCACATCGGTTGCCTTTGGGGTAGGTAAAACAATAACTGCTAATACACCACTGATGGCGGCTGCCACGGCACCGACCACAAACGCCGGCAAGTTGCCTCCGCCAAACAAAGAGTCCCATGGTCCACTCAATGCCGATACTATCATCTGAAATATGTTTATTTGTACGTATAAATATCACATAAACGATATTATAAGATTCACTCTATTGTATGAGAACTATTAAGTTCTAAACCTAAACGAAAATTATATGAAGTGAATGGAATCTTACTTGAGGAACGACAATTGCAATATTAAGAACTCCCAAAGATAAACCTGAAAATTTTGAAACATTTATTAATGAAAACTTATAATAGTACTAGCTTTTAAAATGAGTGAACTATAGGAGTTTCTTTACCTTGTCCAGCCCCTGTTGCGCTGGAGTAAATAGATGCTAAAGCAAAGGGAACACTGAAATTAATCTGCAAAGTATTCATAAAAGTATATTAGTTTATGGTTTAATTGATAAATAGATAATTATATATGATATCATTTTTGTTGCCTTGATAACAATAAGGAAAAGAGCAATTTTTTATGTGATAAATACATAATTCATAAATAGATAATTATATGTGAAAAGAGCAATTTTTTATGTGATAAATACATAATTCATAAATAGATAATTATATGTGATATCTCACCAATTTTTTTATAAAATTCTAAATTCATGAAGTTTCAAAATATAAAGATGAGACATATTAAATAAGGTGTCACCATTTCTCCTTACCATATATAAAAAAATTCATTTTATTTCAGTCAAACAATTTTTTTCGTTTATCATCCCATTTATAATTTAATAAATTATTTTAATTATAATTACAATTATAATTATTCTCTCCGTCTTATAATAAGTGTTTTTTAAAATAATTTTTTATACTTTTAAAATAATAATTAATTATATTAATTTTCATGATTAAATAAATTTTATTTATTAAAATAACTTTATTAATAATAGATATTAAAATAATAAATTATAATTTAACCAATTCACAAAAATCAAATGACTTTTTCAGGTTTAATTCATTAAAATGTATTTTCATTAATTATGGAATAACTTATCAACTTTCCAATTCCACCTTAAAATTATCTTCTTTTATTCATAAAAGACTACTAGCATTAGACTAAAAAAAGACTAGCCACATTGAATTTCTATATAAACTCAATTAAATAATAGAATTAAAGAGGTTTATGAACCGTAAATTAATTGTTTTTAAGAAATAAATTTAAGATATAAATATAATTTTACTTTAAATTCAATAAATTAAGTAGGTATAAACGGATGTTAAAACAATATTTATTTATTAATATAAATAAATAATGAATTTAAAGGAGATGTACCGACAACGTAAAAGTATTATCTAAGAAAAACATGTCATTTTGTTATGTTATATAATTTTTTTTTTAAATAACAGTTTTATTTGACTGAATTTATGATAGTGATTTAGTTAACAGTGTGCATCATCCATTTTTTCATAAATTATTGATATTTATAAATAAAATAACTTAAAGTTTAATGGAAATATACTGTATAAAAAAGTTTTATATTATAATTTAATAAAAATATATTATTCTATTATATAATACAAGTAATATATTATTCTATTATATAATACAAGTAATTTATAAATTTCAGTATAACTTAATAAAACACACGATCATTTTTACTTGATAGGGTAAAATTAATTTATACTTTCAATTTCAATGCATCATCCTTTTTCAATAACATAAAAAAATAAATAAATATAACTTTTACTAAAATTAAATTATTAATGACATATAATCTTATATTATACTACTATATATAGTAATAATATAAATAAATAATAACTCTTTATAAATTATGTTAGTAATAGTTTTAAAGATTTATAAAAAGACAAAAATGCTTATACAATATTTTATATTGAAAATAAATAAAAAAAGAAGAAAAAAATGATGAACCAAATATAAATTAATTTTACATTTTTAATCAATAAAAATTATTTATTTAACTAAGTCAAACTAAAAAACTTAAATTATTTTTAAGATATAATAGAATAATATATTTTTATTGAATGGTTATTAGTGATTCAATAAAGACAAAAAAAATAGCAAAAAAAAAACGTAGTTACCAAAATTAAAAAGTATATATAAGAATTAAAAATAAAAAATAAAAAATAATACCGCAAGAGGGATTCCCAGAACAGCGAAGAAAACGAACGAGGCAGCCTTAATTTCAGCAGAAGGCGTATTACCATCGCTGACGCGGCGTTCATGCTGAGCTGCCTTGGTAATGACTATAGTCATGCCGAGTCCAACCGCAAGAATGATATTCACAATCCCCCAAAGTCTTTTTGCACCCCCAACAAAACGCCCTAATGGCTCCACCGCTAACGACATTAAAGCAAGCACAACAGCATTGATCATGAGCCCCATTGCTCCGGCACGGACTCCACGATTGTATGTGTTGTCTCCCGGATCGCCACCGTACACTTCGTGACCCATCCAATCAGTGTCGAACAAGAAAAATGGGAACCATGCAACCCAGTTTATAGCTGTTACCAACATTAGCATCCACATTGGTCTTTGTAGTCCATTGAATGCACCTAGTATTTCTCCGAAACACGAAACCTGTTGTTCTGGTTCTAATTGTGTCTGTATTTGTGTCTGCGATTGTGATTCTACAATTGGTAATGGAATGTCTTCTACGTAAAGAAGTGCAAAGGCTGAAAGTACGATAAGGAGAAATATTGCAATGAAGAAACAAGTTTTAAGATTTGCGCAAAACTCGTTACAGGCTTCGGTTTTAGTGAAAGGGAACATCATGAAGAGTTTACGGTAAGAGCCTGCTGCATAACCAAGAACATTACCGACAGCCATGAAGAACGAGAACAGTGCATTACCTGTTCTCATTCTTTTATGGTCTTCAGCGGCAAGGTCGCCGATGAAGGCACGACAAGGTCCTTGGAGCATGTTATTAGCAACGTCAAGTATCCAGAATCCGAATACAAAGATGACAACAGCTTTCGGTCGCGTCTTTTTCTTGAGATCATCTCCGAAGGAGTGACCGAGATCAGCTGCATAGCCGATGAGAAAGACTGCAATCGCAACTGCAATGGCACCGAAGAATATGAATGGACGGCGGCGACCAAAACGAGAACGTAAACGGTCACTGTAATAACCGACAATCGGTTGGATGATCATGCCCGAAATAGGACCACACAGCCAGATGTTGGCGGCCCATTTATGTGGGACGCCAAGCAGTTGGATGTAAGGTGTCAATAAAGATAGTTGTAGGGCCCAACCGAACTGGATGCCGGCGGCAATGGAAGCAACTGCTATCATCTTACGAAAAGGGGGTGGTTGTCGGTTAGAAGCAGATTCTAACTGAACAGATGAAATTATGGAACTGTCATTGTTGTTATTGGTGGAATGATTATCCATTGGTGAAAAAAGAGAATGAAAGTTGTGTGTGTTATGCTGAAAATGAGAGAATTTATAACACAAAAAAGAGACTTTTGGCTAACAAGTAATCCCAATGCTTATCCTTTTGGTTTTCTAGTGCGGTCGGTGGTCGGTGTAACCGGGGTAGAAGTCATTGAAACTATGCATTTAATATCAATTTTGATGATTCCCTAGTCTTAATGTGTCAAGAGTAACTTTGTGGAAAAAAATTGCACTCAAAGTTATATTATACTATTGTTCTTTTTTTGTTAAAAGTCCGAGAAAGTATATTTTTTTTGTTTCTTTTAACGTATTTGTCAGTATCTAATCTCAGTCAAGAAAAAAAAATACATAAATCACAGTTTTTTTATTTAGAAATTATTTCTCTTAAACTATGAATTCTTTTATTTAAAGTATTTTACCTAAATATAAATTCTTTATAAATTATTATTTGCAATTACTTTTTAAAATTAATCTTATTTAATACTATCATCTTTGTTAAATATATGAGTTGTAAATCGGATGAATTAAAAAATTAATTGTTATATTTAATATTTTTAATAATTTATGTGTTTTTGTTTTGTTGCAAAATTCTTATTTTTGTGAGAGGGTTCATTTAGATATTGATAAAGTATTTTTTATGAATTAAAAAAAAGTAAACAATTGAAATCTATAATACATATTTATTATTTATATTTATAAAAAAAATAATTATTAATTAATATTTTATATATAAAAGTTTTAGATTTGTCTTTAAGAAGTTTTTTTTTATTAAGTGGAGAGCCGAAGTTCTAGAGAGAAAATCACAACAAGATAAAATCAAAATATTGTTTCTCAACTAAATTATTATCATACAAAACCTTCATGAAAGAAGGGCAAACATTGAAATTACATAATTTATGTTGTTGATGAGTTCCAGAGAGAAAATTACAATGAGATAAAAACCAGAATATTATTTCCCAATTAAATCATTATCATATAGAACCTTCATGAAATAAGGGCAAACATTGAAACTACATAACTTATGTTGTTGATGAGTTTCATTCTTCGCAAGGGCATCGACACACGAATTAGCTTCCCTGTAAATATGCATGATCGATACTTGGATGTCTTGATGAAAAAATATCTAATATTATTTAAAAGATTCTTACCCAGGTTAATGGAGGAGGAGGTACAATTAATGCCCTTGACCACTTGTTGCGAATCATTTTCGACCATGATCCTCTTGAATCTCTTATTTGTAGCAAGGGAGACCTCCATATGCTTCCTAAAGTTCAACAGTATACACACTATAGATCCCAATATTCTTCGAAAAACCTTTAAGCCACTCACCATCTGAAACCTCTGATGATTCCACCACAGTCTGCGTTTCCTTTTTTGTCCATGGCACCATCGATATTCATCTTGACCCAGTCTCTCGGGGGAGCTTCCCATATGATCCTCACCTCCATGCTAGGATTAGTCGTAATCCTTGTTGTTGCTTTTGCTTCCTCAAACTGATGCATCTATCTACCGATATAAGAATACATGCACGGTGGCCTATTAAAATTGTCATTATAGACCTCTTTAATGTGCCAAATCGACAGATTATAATAAGAACTTGCTTTTCGCTTATAAACGCTTGTTCTATATCTAATAAATGTAAAACTAAATTTTCAACTTTAAACCTAACTAACACAATGAATACGAGACAAATGACATAATTAGTTGATTAAGAACAAACAATAACGAATATGGAACTTCCAACATACACTCTTGCATTTAAGTCTCAATGAGGTCGAAATATGGACAATGTGAGAGTTCACCAATAGACTTAGGATATGCTCTGAAATCATGTTGAATTTGTGATTTGTATAAAAAATGAGAAAAATATTCTTGTAATAATTGTTATTAAAAAAATTGTAATTTCACATATTTATTTAATTATTTCTTTTTTTAATTATTTATTTAAAACTATTTTTCTCTTAATTTATTAAATATCATAATTTTTCTTCCACTAACTATTTAAATCTATTTTATTATTTGTTTCTTTCTATGTTTTAAAAATTAAATTGGAGGTTAAATCAGTAAAACTCTCAATTTAAGATTCAATTAATTTAACTGATTAAATCTATGTTTGAATTGTTTATTAAATAAATTAATATATATATATATATATATATATATATATATATATATATATATATATATATATATATATATATATATATATATATATATATATATATATATATATATATATATATATATATATATATATATATATATATATATATATATATATATATATATATATATATATATATATATATATATATATATATATATATATATCATCCACAATAATCCATTCACAATTTAATAGAATAAAAATTTCAAAAATCATTTACAAATTTAGTACAACAAGATTACAACAAAATTAGTGACACATATAATAACACAAGTTAATTGTATATTTAATTTCAACTTTCATTTTAGAACAATTTGAACAAATTAAAGAATTAACATAAAAATAAGTTAAATCAATACAAACTAAAATTAAAATAATAGAATATAATACTTTAAATAAAATTAAAATAATTAAGAACATATGAATTAAATATGATAGAATCACCAAAAATAAATAATATAATATATTTTCATTGAACAACGTTAGGCGAATGCGAGTTGAAAGACAACAAATAATTCATGGTTGGACAATAAAAAATAATATTGAGTTGAAGGACATTTAATATTAAGTTGGATAACGCAAATATGTTTATAAGAGATGATGTGGCGATGATAGAGCATGATTAAAAGGAGAAAAAAATTATAACGAAGTGATAAATTTTAGGAGTTTGTATGATTATAGAAAAAATAAGGAATTATTTATTGTGAATGCGAAATGTTTTAAGTTTTGATATTGACATTAAATTTAAAAAATATTTAAAAATGGTCAATTTGATGTATTTTTTGAACCGGAAGATTTTATAAAACCGGCTCTGATTCTTTATTTGAACGTTTTTAGACAGTTTAACTTGATTTTTCTGATTTTACTCCAATTTTGAAAGGTTGACTGGACCGAACGTTAGAATAATAATGCAAGTGTGAGTAAGTGGGTAAATAGATTCATCTTGAATAGGAATGTAGAGACTTGAGCATATATAAGTGAGAGAATCCACTCTCCTATTACCTTAAAGTTTTAGGTGGATAAGTGGTGTGTCTCTCACAAAGATCCATAATCATCATCTTTGTATCAATGCTCCTAGTGAAATCCCCCAATAAATGGTATCAGAGTCTGGTTCGAGAAAGGGAACGACTTAGTATTGAAATGCCCAGGAAGAGGTGTCCTGTTGCAAGGTGTCAATGGAGGTACAAGTAGGAGAGCATTATGGACTCACACTTGAGGGGGAGTGTTAGCATAATAATGCAAGTTTGAGTAAGTGGGAAAACAATTCCACATTGGATAGGAATATGGAGACTTGAGCATATATAAGTGAAAGAATTCAATCACCTATCACGTTAAGGTTGTAGGTGGATAAGTGGTGTGTATCTCACAAAGGTGCATAATCCTCAACTTTATAGGAAGATACTATTACTTTGGATGAAGTCCAGACGTCAGTGAAATCTAAAGAGTTTTCAAAGTCAAAATATTTGAAGATTGAATATAGTGGTGAAGGCTTAAATGTGTCAAGAGGAGGGTATGAGCATAAAGGGATGTCCAAATCAAAGAGGTCTGACAAGTCAAAGGTAGAATATTTTAATTGTCCAAAAATTGGTCACTTGAAAAGGGATTGTCCTGAGAGAAAGGGCAATGAAGATTATGTTCAAGCTGCATTTGCCTCGGGTGAGGAAAGTTATGAGGATTCCAATGCACTAATAGTATAGAGTTTGGAAACCGAAGATAGTTGGGTCATTGTCTCAGGTTGCTCTTATAACATGTGTCCAAGAATATAATACTTTGAAACTTTGAAGATGGTGTAAGGTGGAGTTGTTCATCTCGGTGATAATAAGACTTGCAAGGTTCATGGTTCAGTCAAACTTAAAATATTTGATGATCGTAAACTTCTTATTCACAATATGAGGTATGTTCTAGAACTCAAGCGAAATTTGTTATCTATAAGTATGTTTGATTATCTAGGCTATTGCCCTAGAGTTGAACATAAAGCGATTTCGCATGATGAATTGATTATTGCTAAATGGTCTAAAACATGTAGTCTATATATTTTAGAAGGTTCAAATGTTGTTATTTATTCATTGTTAACTAGTTGAGGCTTTCATGACAAGGAAGAACCGTGGGATTTGGGTTTAAGGGATTATGAATGCCTTGAGAAAGTTTCAGAGGAGTATAATGAATTTTTCATAAATCAAGGGATAAAAATGCATGTTATCGCTGAGTTTTTATTTAGTTTTTGGGGAAGAGTTGAGGTTAAAATAACTTACTTGGTTGGTAGATAATTTCTTCAGAGGGAGAATAATGAAAACCAATGGAGAAATCTAGGAGAAATTTAACGGAGAAAACTCAGTTTGAGGTGGAGTTTCCTACTATGAATACTAGTAGTGGTGAGTGTACGACTACAGAGATCTATGATTATCATTTAACTCATGATAAGGTAAGGAGGGTTATTGTAGCATCTCAAAAGAACGATTATGCTAGCCTTGGATATTATGTTTTTAATGTGACTTAAGGACTGCAAAATAAAAGAAGAAGAACCTTTAGGGAGTCATTTGAAAACAGGTGAGTCAAGGGTAGTTGAAAAATTATACTTGTAGACTTGTTAAATTACCTAGGAAGAAAAATGTAATTGGAATCAAGTGGATGCAAGTAGCGAGGTCAGGATTCAAGGATTATTTGAATTTGATCAAAGTTATTGATTAGAGTTTCAATCTTGTAGAGAACAACAATGTTGTTGATAATTAAATTGGTATCAATACAGTTTAAAGTCAGTGTGGATATTATTGTAACGTACCTTAAAACCTTTGTTGACGAAGAGAAAGAAAGCATGTTTCAAAATTGCCAT